GGCAGCGTAAGCAGCGTAAGTGAATGTCAGGGAATTAATTCACTTGAAGAGAGCGAGTGTGTCGAGAGAGAGAGAGAGTAGCGCTGGGAGAAAATACCCGCGGCATTAATGCGCCGATGCTCTGCCGCTCGTTACTCAACGCCTCCCCGCTCCGAGAAAATTGGATGCGCGGGGCTCCGCGTTGCGTGGCTCTTGATCTGTCCTCCGTCTCGCCGACTTTTGCGCTTAATCGGCCGGGGAGGCTCGGCCCCCCCCCTCCCGATCGTACCCCCTCCCTCCCTATCGTACCCCCTCCCTCCCTATCGTACCCCCCCCCCCCCAACCACCGCCCTCCCCATCCCTGGCTCCTCGGCTCCCCCGCCAGCGTCTGACATTTCCTGTCGAGTCGTTCCGCTGGGGTGCGGTGCCGGTTCAGGGAGCCGAGCTTGGGGCGGGGGGGGCGTTGCTCATAAATTGGAGCGAGGATGCTGATCCTGGAGATTTCAAAACTGGCATGGCGTGTGCGTGCGTGCGTACGTGCGCGTGTGTGTTCCCTGCCGCGTGCGAGCAGGGGGGGGGTGTGGCAGTAACTTGCCAGTCACATGAGCGCAGGGGCGGACTCGTGCCGTAAATCCAGCGGGATGGTAATTTAGACGTTATTAGGACACGGGCGGTTACCTAACAAGCCGCGTTATGCCATTATCCGCTTGGCTAATTAAATACGCGAGGTAGGATGGACTTAGCGAGCCTCTTGTGCCCCAATGTCCAGCGGTGCCTGAAAGGTTTTGTTCATTTTTAAAGTTGTGCTTTAGTGGTCGGGGTGCGTGCTTCGCCATCTGAATATCCGTCGTGGGTAAAATTGACGGCTACCACTTTGTGAGAAATCCGCAAAATATGTTCTATAGCTAGATTGAGCCCCTGCCATCAGATTGTGGAATATCCATCGCTTACAGGAGTTGATCACTTCCCTGTGCTTTGGTTGTAACATTGTGAATTCAGCCCGATCATGAAATATCGATCAGCTAATTACTATCACCAGATGTATCGACTATCGAGTGTCGGTAACGTGCTATTTTATTGCCTCTCCTCTGGCATAAGGGTCACGTGCTTGGGAGTGTGCGAGTGCTCATTTTGGGCAGTACTATGGTACCTGCACGCGAGAGCGACACTGGCGCCTATGACCATGATTAACGCGTGTTTCAGACACGTTTGTACAACCTTGAAGTGGCTGTTTACCTGGGCGCAATGTCAACCAATTATGGCTTCCGTAAAGCAGAGATATCTCATTTGTTACAATGTATTTGATATGGCAGCAATGCTCATACAATCTCACTGTGGTGTCGGACGTACCGAGACGAGCCGAGTTTTTCATCCACGCTGCGATGGGATGGTGCCTCCCACGTTCGTGCGTGCATGTCCAAACCATTGACGTGTTTCCTATAAGCAATCCATATTTTCTGAAACTCTAGATGAATACCGACTAAGTGACAACCCCAATATGTGTGACGCGGATGGTTGAGAATGTTTCGACTGTGGAGCTGCTTAATTCGTGGAACTGCCCCTCTCCTCTTCAAGAGAGGGGGACGCTGGCGCTGTGAGGCGGCACGGTGACCGGGCGAGTGTGAGAGATTGATGAGTGTGGGGCAGGGGTGCAGGAGGAGGAGAGGAGGAGTTTTAATGAGGAGCGTTGCGGTCGGTAACAGAGTGGTGGGGCTGGGGGGGGATAACGGAGGGGGTGAGGGGGTGTCCTACTTTATTATCGCAAAACTGTGGCCGGCTCATTCCAATTTCACAACGCGCATGCGCGGAGCGGCCGGGAATTTAAATTCTCGCCACAACAAGTTGCGTCGGCCTGGCGGGATCCGAGATGCGTGCGGAGTCGTCGCCGGTTCCATTCGATCTCCCGGTGCGGCAGTTGAAATATAGCTTCGGTCCGCCCAGCGATATCATTGGGGACATCGCGGTGAGTCGACCTACACGGCGTGTGATGTCCGGTCAAGTGCGCGTAGTCGCACCTCGTTTGGCCAGTGTGGAACAGTAGGCCAAATACCCTCGAGAGATGCTCTACAGAACTAACCTCGAAGTGGAAGTCCTTCCACCAACAGTGGCGTGAGCAAGCATTTACAGGGCTGCACTTTTACATTTACAATTAAAATGTGGACTTGTATAATGACTCCGCGTGGCCCCATCTCCAGATGCTGCACTGAAATGCGGGACGTACTGACGAGGCAGCCAGTCATCGGCAGAGGAGAAGAGAGCGTTCTTGAGCTGACAGCACGAGTGACTGGGGGAATAGAGTTCCAGACTGGGAAAAGCAGAGGGAAATGGGCAATCTCCCACTGTTGGTCTTGTGAAACTGTGTGCATAATTTAAGAGCAGGCATATTGAGTAAGTTAAGTCATGATGCACTTTGTGATGTGATTCATCCACAACACTTTGCTCTGGATATTTTCAATCAGGATTCGATAACAAATCGATATAAGTAGCTAAAGCATGTCATCCGCTAAACCAAGGTACAGCCATTTAACACGTCTTGGTATCCGCTTCTGTGCGCCACGTCTCTTACAGAAGGGGCCGAAGCGGCTCTGCGAAAGATTCCAGCAGATAGTCTGTCTCACGACGCGATTCGCATGAACTTGGAGGAAATTACAAAATAATAATAAGTGGTAATAATACATTTTTAATAAATCAGTGCCAGTAATTTAATATGCGCAGCCGTCACACGAAGATACGCGTTCGTCGTGCGCGGTGAATACTAACGCAGTTCCGAACGGCGTAATGCAGAGACGCGATGGAGGTCTCTTTTGAGGTGAGCGCTGTGGCCGAAAATGCTGCCTGCAGGAGATGCTGCCTCGGTTCGCACTAAATTGCCGGCTGCTCTTTTGAGGCTCGGATAGCGTTGGTGGCTCAGAAAAGCGTCCGTGCACCATCAAATCATTGTAATTTCTCCGGGCGAAGCCCACTTCTGTAATGGGTTCTGGTAAACAAGATATCGGTAAGCTGCAGAAATGTGACATTTCAGAAAAACCTCTTATCTGCTTACTGGACCTAATCTGTAATTTAAAACCTGCAATAGCGTGCACTTTTGAAAGTGTTGCTCACAGATAAAAGTGTTGCCTTGTGCGTGAAAGAATATTCTTGGCAGCACAATCTTTCCTTGCGTTGATAATAGTGCTCAAAAGAGTTGATCGTGAGCTAGAACAGTAGCAGCAGGCACGGACGTTTGGGGTTAATGTTATATATACGCGAGTCTGCGTGGTTTTTCCTCGCTCTGGTGCATTGCCTTCACTTTACAGAGAGCGTCCTTTATATTTTGGAACCAAGACCAATCTTGCGCCCGATGCATGCGGTTCGCCCGTCTCGCCGTGGCATTTCCTCAAGGCGAAGGTGCATGACCCGATCTTTACGGAATATTCTAAGGATTGTCGTCTTTTGTTGGACAGCGTGCCACAATAGCGGCCGCGGCGATATTGATGAGGTCTGCTCGGAACACGAGCGCCCCTCGCTCCCGCACCTCTTGGGCGCTCTCGGGAAAGACGGTGACATTTTTGTCTTTGGCAAAAAGCGCACACATATTAACGTGACATCTGGCGTTGAGGAAAAGCTGCTGCTTGGCGTCTCGATGTGTAAAATCAAGTGGCCGCAATGGAACAAGCCCCGCGTCGCTCATTCACTCGCTAGGAGAGCTGATACATCGGGAATAAGAGGGCTCGGAGGATAATACACCGCTCGCTGGCTTATAATTTTAAATTCCGTGTAAATTATTTGAAAAAGGAAAGCAAATCGACGGTCACCGTCCACCCGGTGTTGGAAGCAAGTCATGCGAGAGCGCGCGACAATGTCTAATCAAGTGTTTCTGCCACGCGTCATGTGCTCAGTATCACGAAGGGTGTCTGCTGGCTTACAGAGGTTTTGTTTGTTGAGAGAACAACTCGTGCAGTCCCTCCTCTTTTTAATATTGCATGGCCATTTTAGCGCGGTACATATGAGACATTATTAAATGTGATGGCAATAGCAGAATTAATTTGGCCCTGGAGCGACGAGGAGAGGTTGCACGAGGCACAGTTACATTAGCAGCCTTCATCCAAAGGTTTGGAGAGAGATTTAGAATCGCATCTGCTACGGATTGTGTCGGTGACTCATCATGGGGAGAGAGATCCTGCCATTGCTCGTCTTCACGATGTGCTTGGCAGCCCCATCACAATAGTTGCGAATCCATGTATTTGTCCGTGTGATGTTGAGACGTTTGGACACTGGCGTCACCTCCTGGGCGCGTGAGACACGGAGTGGTGAGCGACAGCACAGAGGGTTCGTGTGAGCAGCCCCGCTGGCTGCTCACCAGATAAAGGCCCCCCGCATAGCCCACGCAGACTATAAGGGCAAGTGCTGTTAATGAGCACCTATGAAAGCCAGTATGGCTCATGAGGGGGTGGTATTGTAGGCTTTATCATGCCCGACCGGCCGTCTTTGTCTTTCTCGTGGTGATGTTTACAAACTTCACCATGGACTCGTTGAAGGCTGAGTTGACTACAGGAAGCCTTGGACCGATTCAGATATTCACCACCGATGTCGGCCACGGGCAAGGATTCACTTTGGCCACCTGCTTTGTGGCGCAGTGCCACAACCACTGCACCACCGCTCCCCACCCAACCCACCATCTCGCGCCGCGAGCGGGCAGTGCAGCTCCCGTGGGGCGGTGACCTCAATCGAGAGCAGAGCCACGCTGACCCCAGCGCACGCGGAGCCGGCTGCACCTCGCCTCCCGTAGCGTTCGCTCGTGGCGAGCGCGGCGAGCACGGGTGAGCACGTCAGCCGAGGTCGATGCGACGACAGCCGTAGCTCGTCGGCTTCTCGGTCGTGCGGAACGCGGTGGCGCGGCAAGCCAGGGCAGCGTTGCCCCGTTTCCCTGTGTGGGCCAGAGCTAAATTATTATCGTTGTTATTATTATTGAGATTATAATAATCATTATTTGGATGTGGCAGGTTCTGTTTGCTCATGGACGTCCGGGTTGTGTCCCACAGGATCGAGTAGGTGCCGTATCACGGAGCCGTTCCCGGCGTGCGGCTTCGTGCAGGACAAGGACGATGACTTTGACTGGGAGCAGCTGAGTGGCGCGGAGGCGTCGCGACCTGGACTGCAGCCTCCTGCAGGTGGCCACACAGCAGCCAGCACAGCGCCACGCTCCGCACACTGCCCACAGCCGCACGCTCCACACAGCGCCACGCTCCGCACACTGCCCACAGCCGCACGCTCCACACAGCGCCACGCTCCGCACACTGCCCACAGCCGCACGCTCCACACAGCTACACACTGAGCACAGCCACCACAGCCACTCACTCAGTCACATCATAACTTATATTAAAACTGAAAATTATTTTGTCAAGTAGGAGAAGAGTAGAGGTCCAATGAACCTTGTGGGACACCGAAGCAAGGGGTTTCTGAGAGGGGAGACGTCTCTCTACCCCTGCTCACTCACTACAATCTCCACTCGCTCACGAGCAGGCTATTCACTGACCATTAGTATACAGGCTCGCTCGTCATCAGTATCTCCACTCGCCCACTACTCAACGTCAGCGTGCCAAGTCGCCACCAGCACATCCACTCACTCACCACCAATGCATGCTCCCGCTAACTGCCAGGAAACTCATCTCACTGTCAGCTCGCACTCCAGATCATCCGTCTCCTCGCCGCACTGCCGGCAAGTCCATTCTCTCCATCAGTAGGATGACCACTCGCCCTGTCGCTCATCTACCACCCAACCTGCCATCTCACCCAGCTTCAAGACCCATTTCTCGGCCTCCTACCTAACTACTTAATCCAGACTTTGGGATAATACTTTTCATATCAACATTTTCTTTTCAATTCATCTCCAGAGTGCCACCTGTTCTTTTTTCTTGCTGTCACATTTTTGGATCACCGTGGCTCTGGCAAACTGCTGCCGGCCACGATTGGGAGCAGACGAACGTGGCTGAAAACGAGAGGCGACGTCCTCGCGGCTCCGTTATGAGAAAGATTGATGGCACCGCCGCTGTGATATTGGCGGCGGCGGACAATTTGCATGCCGGCAGCCGTTGAAGAGACTGCCGGGTGTGGGGCGTGCGGCGTGTGGACGGCGTCGTGGGTGGTGTACGCGACGATCAGTTCACCGGCCGCCGTGTGAAGAATCGTGGTGACCCCAGACCGAGACCTTGCTGGAGTGGGGGGGGGGGGGGTTGGTGGGCGGCACGATGTGGTCAAGGAAAGGTTTCCTCCGGGCTTTCCGGCTTCCTCCCATTGCTAAAAAAAACCCGCACACAATGTAGCTGGGTATTGGTCAAACAACCCAATGCAAAAAAAAAAATACCTGCAAATTACTCCATTGTGATTACACACAGCAGTAACATTGCCTGCGACTGCAAAAACTTCACAGGACCCTCTTAAGTAAGTGTCTTGAGACTCGGTGAGGCCTTCCTGGGCAAACGTGCGTGATGATGATACTAATAACGGTGTTAGACTTTCAATAAATGTTAAACTCTAAACAGAACAAGCAACGGATACGATCATCTATTATCTGTCAAACATTTGGCTCGAGCGCTCACCCCATATGTAGATAACGAAAGGCCGTGACACCCATTGCCTCATCCAGAAGTGGGGCTGAGCCCTCGGCACGCCCGACGCTGCCGGGCTGCCGTGTCGATATCGGAGCGGTGAGATGCCCTTTGCTCTGCGACGTTCGCCGCACGACCTTGCACCCCCACGGATGCTTTACCGGTGCGGTTTCTACATCCGTGCCGTGTGACTGGGATCCCCGCTCTTTGGACTGGCGGTCGCTGCGGCGATGGGGAATGCTGGATCGTCGTCAATCACGAGACGGCGGCCGAGCTGCGGGCGCCGAGAGCGTGCGTTGAGGTTTCAAATTAAAACAAAAAAACACAAAACAAACATGGTGTGCTCTTCCCCGCAGTGCAGCTGTGCTGCCGTAATAATTAAGGGCCCATATGCTTCTCTGAATCTGTCATTGTCAAGAAATTAGCATAAGATATTAATTAGTCTGCTGTATTTTGCTAAGTGATTCATAGAGATGCAAGCTGCCGCTTGTCCACGCGCGATTCCTGTGGCACGTGATGGAGCATTTGTTAATAAATGATAACCCTAAAAATGTAATTTGTGAAAGTAATTGGCCTCATTACATGAAAAAAAACCCTCTTATACCTCATTAAATAGTTGAGCAATAGCATTTGCTTAAAGGATCGCATGCCAGATTATATTCCTACTTCACTACCATCCGAGCCATAAGTTGCTCACGATTCCACTTCTTTCCTTAATTAGGAATGCTGCCACCTTCTCTAATTACAACGAATTGACGTGGCATCGAAGGGACTCGCATCGACGTCGAGTCTACTGCTCCTTGAGAGGGCTCTCTTCTGCCGCAGACCCCTCACGATCTACACCAGAATCTACACCCCACCTCCCTCACGATCTACACCAGAATCTTCACCCCACCTCCCTCACGATCTACACCAGAATCTACACCCCACCTCCCTCGCGATCTACACCAGAATCTACACCCACCTCCCTCACGATCTACACCAGAATCTGCACCCACCTCCCTCACGATCTACACCAGAATCTGCACCCACCTCCCTCACGATCTACACCAGAATCTACACCCACCTCCCTCACGATCTACACCAGAATCTACACCCACCTCCCTCACGATCTACACCAGAATCTACACCCACCTCCCTCACGATCTACACCAGAATCTGCACCCCACCTCCCTCACGATCTACACCAGAATCTGCACCCACCTCCCTCACGATCTACACCAGAATCTGCACCCCACCTCCCTCACGATTTACACCAGAATCTGCACCCACCTCCCTCACGATCTACACCAGAATCTGCACCCACCTCCCTCACGATCTACACCAGAATCTGCACCCCACCTCCCTCACGATCTACACCAGAATCTGCACCCACCTCCCTCACGATCTACACCAGAATCTGCACCCCACCTCCCTCACGATCTACACCAGAATCTGCACCCACCTCCCTCACGATCTACACCAGAATCTACACCCCACCTCCCTCACGATCTACACCAGAATCTACACCCCACCTCCCTCACAATCTACACCAGAATCTACACCCACCTCCCTCACGATCTACACCAGAATCTACACCCCACCTCCCTCACGATCTACACCAGAATCTGCACCCACCTCCCTCACGATCTACACCAGAATCTGCACCCACCTCCCTCACGATCTACACCAGAATCTACACCCACCTCCCTCACGATCTACACCAGAATCTGCACCCACCTCCCTCACGATCTACACCAGAATCTACACCCACCTCCCTCACGATCTACACCAGAATCTACACCCACCTCCCTCACGATCTACACCAGAATCTGCACCCACCTCCCTCACGATCTACACCAGAATCTACACCCCACCTCCCTCGCGATCTACACCAGAATCTGCACCCACCTCCCTCACGATCTACACCAGAATCTGCACCCCACCTCCCTCACGATCTACACCAGAATCTACACCCACCTCCCTCGCGATCTACACCAGAATCTACACCCCACCTCCCTCACGATCTACACCAGAATTCGTAGTTCATCTCCCTGCAGCCCCCCGACTTGCGGGTATCACATCTCGCGACGAGGAGCCGCCGTCCGCCTCTTGTACCCGGGGGCACGTGTGGCACAGCGGCGCCGCGTCTGCACAGAGCGCTGTGTCGTCTGGGTGCTCGACGCTCTTGGGACAGCAAGAGAGGAAGGGCCACGGGTGCGCGGCTTCCTCCCCAGAGTGTTCCTCAAGTCAGACGAATGCCGAGCGCGCCGCTCCGCTAAACCTGGCGCGTTAACGAGTCGTCGCGGCCGGGGGGTGATGGACAATCAGGAGCCGTGGGGCCACGAGCCGCGTGGTCCCACGGGCCCCCTCCCTCAGCCTCCTAATGACGTCCTACCTGGCCCGGTGCTCTCATTAGAATAATTAATAACGGAAGGCGGCGCAACAAAAACAAGAGGCGAGAGTCGCTTGAGTCCGTGTGGGCTCTCGATGCCAACCTTCGCTTTACTCGGCGGCGTCAAGCAGCGACCGTTTGGCGATCTCTCGCGTGCCTCGAGTTCTTGTCATTCTCGTCATTGTCGCTGGGGGTTTTTGTTTTTGGTGGGGGGGGGGGTTGTATTTTTTACGCGGTTGTGATTTATGGCTCGCGTTAAAGCACAAACGCAATCGTCAATCCCGTAGCGCTTTTCCGGCGCAATGTGTTAGCGCTGCGAGATTTCACGGCTGCCACGCGGCTGACTGTGTGACGTGCGCGATTGATGCGGGACCCGGGATCTGGCGGCACTGACGGATGAGCGGCACCGCCGCTCGCGAGCGCGCCAGAGCGAGGCACGCGCATGCACGCGCACGCACGCGCACGCGCATCCGCCGCGACAAATTGAAGTGACCCTTCCCCTTCATTAGAAAAACACGGCGCTGGCTCCGTGCGTCCTTCTCAAACATCTCTTTTAAAAAGTTGAAGTGTGAGTGCCGCATGCGCCCCCTTGTTACAGCAAAACCCATCAGATGGTGGGGCTGGTACGAAATACATACATCGGAAAGCGTCGCTTCCCATTTTAATCGCAGGCCTGGCTGCTGGGCGCATCATGATGTTGCCTCTCATGTGAGTCACAGCCTGCGAATTCCTGCGAGAAGTTTCGGCAAATTATCGTGATATCTTTAACAAGAGAAATGTAACGGTCGTCTTGCATGGAGGTCGACAGATTCAACTTTACTTCAAAGTGAGACTAGGAGTAATAGAGCTGTAGCCGCAATGCTTAGTTTGGAATGAGACCTAAACTTTTTGCCTACTTGCCCATTGCGAATGAAGACCATTAGCTTTGCTCCGGTCTTCAAGATACATGTGGAGTGTTTTCATTTCATGCGGACAACTTCTTTTTCTTCTGTCACTTTCTATTGAACAGAAACTCGTCGCGTTCGACACCCCCGTGACTCCGTCGTGATGTTCCCGCTTGTGCTGCTTCGCTCGCTCTCCCTCTCCTAGCCTCTCCACTGCTAGCCTGTTTTCTCCCTCACTCTCTCAGCCTCTCCACTGCTAGCCTGTTCTCTCTCTCTCACTCTCCTAGCCTCTCCACTGATAGCCT